AAATAAGAAAACAATAAACAATATTTTTTCTTGTTAACAGGGAAAAATGTTTCGACACAAAGATCTTCCCCGCGTGTGTGATCGAACTCTCCCTCAACCTGAATGAATACATGTTCGAAGCAGAGTTGATTCGCGAGCTTTGAACGGAAGGCGGTCGTGGCCTGCAGATTCCCTCGGGCGGATGGGGGGGAATGGTGGAAAAGTGATTTATGAATATATATTCGTTGGCTATGGATTTGAATGTGTTGAGAGTAAATGTGATTGTAAGGTAGGCTGTTGAGAGGCCAAACTAAATGAAGGTTTGTGTGGATCTACTCTGATATATTTTCATTGCCAAAAAAGTTAAACTGTGTATGGCCAAATGATATTTCAAATAAAGTTACTGTACATTAGACACTATATTACCATTTATTTACCCAAACAAAGAAATATCTAAGAGCCCGGAGTCAAGGTGCATCATTTCTTACGGATTTCATGTCACCTTTTAAATTTTCTGGCTGGACCATATTGTATTTTCTAAAGTGAAATATTTTTTCCTGCTATGTATTCATCAGTCGAAGCTTGTCTGCCAAAGATACAAAGAATCATCATCAAAATTTGAATATAAATATATCAGTAGCAAAAAAAGACAATTACAGAATTCGTTTACCACAAAGCGGTCATTTTCTTTAGTTTAAGCCGTAAATGATATCTTGAAATGTAATCTAAATGGCAACAGAAGTATATCCTCTAATAAATCAAATAAAAAAGTAACAGCATTGTATTTCTTTATCTCATGAAGCGGTCATAAAATGTCACGTTAAAATTCTGTAATTCACCGCTTTTATAATATGCACTTAGTAGTTGCGCCGTATGCAAACAGACACTGAATCCCCCTATTGTTCCAGCCAGTCAGCGCCAAGGGGAAATTTGAGGCGTGCAATTTCGTGAAGTGGTTAGTAAGCCACAGCCTCTCGAGAACGGACGGAATCAGTGTATATATAATCCGCATTGTAAGAGTTTCGTTTCCTTAATCGCCGGCAAGAAAGTGACGTTTTCTTCTCTGGCTAGGCGTTGTTGTTCTTCTATTTTGGTAACTCACGTGCAAGAGATTCGTGTCTGGTAAGGTCATGTCCCATAGTCTAAGCTATCATTACGCATACTTTCTCTCTTTGGTCTTTTGTCGGTCATAAGGAAACTGTACATCTGCACACTTGAAGAATAAGGTACATTTTGCGTCTCTGGCCGTTAGTATACAAAGCGCTTTGCAACATAATGTGTAATAAAACCGACACTCTAGTATATGTATATTCGATGCTCTGGTCTTTTCAAACCCACGTATTCTCTGAAATATTCTGTATAAGCAGATCAAGGAAATTGGTCGGATTTTGGTTCTGACAAAGGCATGTTTATGGCTATGTAAATGAGAAGTTAATTTTTGGCTCTTGGGCAGGGAGTCCATAGTCAGTGATGGCATCCTTACATCTAGCCGTAGCTTTGTGTTTTCATTATCTTTCACTCAGTTTAATATCGCTGGTGTCGGTATTTTGTTTCATTCTCATTTCTTTTCTTCTCCCTCAAATTCTCTTCTCTCTACTGGTATGTATTATTTATGTGATTAATATACACATTTTCACTACGCAAGCAAGTGCAAAATGTAAAAAAGCGGAACGAAGACATAAGAATCTTAAATTGCTATCTGACAGCCTTCAGATTGCTTGTGATA